ACCAGTTCTCTTAAACACATTATGCTGATCCTCCAACAATGGGGATCCAGGTTCTAGTCCCAACTCAGCTGTGAAGCTCACTGGGGGCCTTTAGACCAGTCACTGACCCTCATGCCAATCTATCTCACAGGGCCATTGTGAGGACAAAATGGAGAGGAGGAGGGTAAGTAGCCTTGGGTTATTTCTCCTGCAGGAAAACAACAATCCCTCTTTGTTCATGGTCTGACCTCAGTCCAAGAGACAGGCAGCACCAGCAGAAGTCTGCCTAAGACACCCTCTTTCTTGCAGAAGCTCACCAGCAATACAAAGTGAGCCCATCCAGTGCAGCTCTCTTCCTTCACCTAACATGCTTTATATACACATTTATTCGGCAGTGGCAGGAAATAGCACAACAAGATGCATTGCATAATAATGACAGGCTGTACAGTATTAAAGTAATCATAAGAAGAGAATATTAATTTACCTTTGTACAGGGTTATCTTGACTTCTTCTCTCCTAGGTGCCAAAACCTCTGCTTATCTTTGAGGACAAATTCTAACTTTCTTGATAAAGGTTTATTTTATACTTTTCTTAACCTGGTCCTTATCATGATCAGGGAAAAAGAAAAAAAAAAGCTTCATTAGAATAATTATGTAACATCAGGTAAGCCTTTGTACCTGATTTTGCTTCCCACTTTCACTTCCCTCACCATACCCTTTCATTCTGCATCTCTTCAACTGAATGTCTTTATTTCAAATTTTAAGCTCAATTGAGTTTAATCAGATGTTATTCCAGGTAAATGAGTATAGAATTGCAGCTTTACTTTCAGAAGACAGTAGACCTGAAGGCAATAAGAATTCCCCAAAATGACAACATTAACATGTCTCGATGTGTTTTCATTCCACCTATTAACTGAAGTGCTGTCTCCGTGTCTTTTTAGGGGTGGGGGGTGATTCAAAAATACTATCTCCTACTCATCACCAGCCCAAGACACTGTGCTTCCACCAGTGAAGACCTGTTATCCCCTGACATCCTAATACTGTCAAAAAACTTGTTCTGCTGGTCAGACACTGAAGCCTGCAGGTCTGGCCCTACCTGAGGTATGGTGAGGTGCTTGACTCAAGCAACAGATGTTTGGGTGCGGCATCAAGGTGTTGGAGAAAGAAGTTGCATTCTTTCCTCCAACACCTTGATGATGCCTGTAGCTTTCAAGTGAGGTGGTGGGTGCTGTCCCAGTGTCTAACTCTGAGTTGAGTTAGACAAAGTAAGAGTTGTCAAACAGTTTCACTGGCGTTTAGGCATGAACCACCATGCTACAGTTTGCCAGAGGTACCCCCCCCCCCAAGTCCTGCTTTTATTTTTTCCATCACCAGAGCCAGCTGTGTTCCCAGGAACAGCCTGAAACTGTACAGGGCATCCTGCCATCTCAGAACTCTCGAAATGCTATTACTACTCCTACTGTTATTTCTATACCAACCAATAGATCAATAGATCTCTCAGCAGCTTATAACAGCATTTGAAAATGCAGGCCAAATTACAAATGCATGAATGGGAGTTTTGTGGCTCATGGGGTGGGCTAAATATCTAATAAATAAAATAAATATAATTTAAAGTGCAGACTTTAAAAACATTCTTTGTGGCCACTGGGGAAGCTCAGAATCACCGGGACTGCTGGGGCATTAATGTTTCCTCCCTCTGCCATGGGATATTTGTCTTCCTCTTATTTACATCAGGAGGGAAGCCTCCATTGGCACCAAAGGAAGTTTTACTCTCGATGAAATAGCAACTTGGGAGGTGGGCAGTGCTGAGAGTAAGCATGTTGGCAGGCTTGGGCAAGTGTTCCCACATGGCGCTAGTCACAACACTTTTGCTGATACAGATGATGAATATTTTGATGGGATTGAGGAGCAGGACTTTGTCCAAGGTCCAGGGATACAGCAGGGGATGAAGTGCAGGCAATTGGACGGAGGGCAGGTGTGGAGGTGGACCAGGCAGCTCCTGGGAGCAGCATGGAGATGGTGGGAGCACGGCTGGTGGGAGGGGCTGCTGAGGCTGGGAATCCTCCAATGGGGGTCAGTCCCTCCCTCCAGAGCTGGTTCCCATGGGCAGGCATCGACAAAGGCAAGAGACTCAACTGGATGAGAAGAGCATGGGAAAGAGGCAAGCTCGGTTCCACAGCGTCCCTCCCAGAGAGCTGGGAAACAGATATGCTCATAAGGAGAGTTTAGGGAAGCTGTTGTTAGATTGGGTTCAGCAAATCACTTTGTGTATACTCAGAGGCTCATCTGGATGCGTTATGCGTTATGGAACATTTTGTAAGAAAAAGGGCCTGAGGCTAGTGATTGTCAGAGGAAGGAAATGTGGCTTGTGACGGCAGAAGGATTGCTACCAGCTTTGACCACCATTTTTGGTAGAGATGTAAACTATAACTTTTATAAACAGATAAAGCGTTAACATTTCTTTTCTCCACAACCTATGGTGCTGAAACTGGCTCTCCTGTTGCTCTTTTTAATTTTTTTAAAATGTGAATGCAAACTTGCTCCCATGCAATGGACATCTTGTCGAGTTTAGCCATTAGAAAAGGTGAGTGGAGTGCAAGTTCTCCATGCTATGGTTGCTTTGCATCTTTATTTGAGAGATTGCAAAAGACAGGTGTTGGCAGAATAGAGAATAATCATTTAATAAAAAGGAAAGAGGAGAGGAGAGGAGAGGAGAGGAGAGGAGAGGAGAGGAGAGGAGAGGAGGAACAAGACTTGTGCACGGACAGGAACCAGCACTGCACAACTCCTGTCAGCCTAAACCTCCAGACTTTCCCTGAGTGAACCCCTCACCACAGACCTCGCCTTCTCAGCAGTCCTGCCCTGTGGATTTCATTCAATGACTTCTTTCTGCTCTGTCCCCCTGTTACAAAGCTGGGGGTGGGGGGGGGATGAACCTTGTGCAAGCTGGGAAAGGAGAATACTTAGGTACAACACCATCTCCATGTTCTAGTAGTGGGCATGGCCAGAACCCAATGAGATGTGGCTAGATTAAGATTGGGAGGAGTTATAGATAGAACTCTTAACTTGTTCGCTGTGCTATGGGGGAGCCCCTCTGTAGGCAGTTACTTGTTCACCCTTCATTTTTTATTTCAGGGTAAGGCTGCACAGCCTTCAGTAAGGAGCGGGGAGGGTTTAAACCTCCTCCCAAGCCCTTCACTTCCTGAAGTTCTCCCTTGTCCCCCAGGCAGGGATCAAAATAGAGGGTAAAAGCATAGACATAAGCATGGCTGCACTATTAGAGGTAATAGAAGAACATTTAATTTGGGATAAAACAGAAATGAACAGCAATGCAAGACCAAACTAGCAGCAAAGGGGTAGGCCAATTTGCAGTGGGAAAGGTCTTTGTACTGTGGCCAAATGCATCAATGAGCTCTGTCATATCATCATCATCATCATCATCACCACATTTATATCCTGCCTTGCTTCCCATCACAAGGAACTCAGGCTGCCTTGCAAGGGTCTCGCCTCATCCTTTCCATATCCCCACAATAACAGTCCTAGGAGGAAGGTCAGGTTGAAAGGCAGTGACTGGCTCAAAGTCACCTTGTGAGTTTCACAGCCAAGCAGGGACTAGAATGCAGAGCTCCAAACCCCAGTCCAGCACTCCTACCCGTCACACCAGCTCTCTGTGTTCCAATGCAAGACATGAAGAAGAACCTCCAGAGAAGTTCTGACCCAGCAGGATTGTCTGGGAGAAGGCGGAACAGACCTTTAAGCATCCTGGTCCCAAGCCATGCAGGGTTTTACAGGTCATAGTCAGCACTTTGAACTTGGCCCACAAGCAGCCTGGGAGCCAGCAAAGCCTTTACAATGGAGTGATTTGCTTTCATTCTCAACCCAGCTGACGGCCTGGTTTTCAGCAATTTGAACCAACCAAGGTTTCCAGGCTAGTACAGAGTGTGGCAGTGACCCAGTTGTGATGCAACTCACATGTGGGTCACCATAACTGTAACATCTCTTGTGGTTTTCAGTGAAAGGGTTTTCTTAAACAAAAAACACTATTTTTATGTAAACTGGGTTTTAAGTGGAAAATCAATCAATGAATCAATCAATCACTCGCTCTCTCTCACACAAACAGTTCCAGGGCTTGTTAGTTCGTTTTTCTTCTGAGCCCATATATGCTGCAACTCTTGTTGTACAGAAGCAGCTGAAGATCATCTTTTGTTATCATTCATATCCTAAGCATTTGACAAACATTGAACATGCCATGGAGGAAAGATGTGTATTTCCAACCATTGAAAATGTACTCTACTCTCCCCCAGCAATTTCTTCACAGTGCATCATGGAAACAGTTCTGATGCAGATAAGCATCATGAAAAGAATGGCTTTTGCCAATTTCTCTATCCTCTTCCATTGTTCCCATCTTTAATTCTTGCTTTCCCCCCTCAGTTCCCATTGAAAAAATCCACTCTTCCTCAAAGACATCTAGTTTTAATTGCAAAAGAAAAAGAAAAAGAGGAACTCTCTTTCCTAATACTTGTGTGAGTGCATGTGTGTCTGTCCGTGCAGCTATTTACACAATCCACCCAACCCCATCCTGTCCCAGTCCCTCGTGGCCTCCGTCTCAGAAAAGACATTGGTCCCAACACGCTGGAGACAGTTTACTTACTGTGGCAGCCCCCAGGCCAGATTAAAGCTGGTGATTGGCAGAGGTACCCCTTTCTTCGAGTTGATTTGACTGGCTTCACTGTTCAGGTCTCAAATTCCCTGCATTCCAAGCTGCTGCTGGTTGCTTTTACTACTTCCCACCTCCTAGTCGAGCAATGGAGCTGTTGTCACAAATCCGGGCTAGGGGAAGGGCCGAGGGACCTCTCCTTGTCAATATCCATCCTTCCACACTTCCATTCAGCCTCCCACCCCCACCCCGAGGTTCACACGTGTTCTTGGCTGGCCTGCTGCCTTTCTGAGGAGTGGCCCATTAATACCTCGGGGCCAAAGCCAGAGGCTGCCACTCCACAGTCTGCCTCCATCCCAGCAATCATGATAGCCCTTTTTTCTGTCTTCCTGCTCTCCGTGCTGCTTCTCTTGCAGGAGCAGGGAGTGAATGGGGTCCCTCCACAGCTGAGAGGTAAGTGATGCAATCTATCGGTTAGCTATTCCCTTTGGGCCAGCAGGCTGTGATAACCAGGCATGGAAGAGAGAAGGGAACTGAAACACAGAACAAGACAGAAAAAAGTGTGAACTGTGGTGTGCGTAATAGGCACATTTCCCTCCCTTCCCAAAAGCTACAACAATTTAAGGCTCTCTGCTGTGGATCCTTGTTTCTTTATTTTGGAAAAGAGACTGAGATGAAAGCACACTCAGAGATCACAATCAGCAGTGTTAACTTTGCACCAGTAATCAAAACACATAGCAGCAGTGGTGTTCTCACCCCTCATCTGTTGCCGCATCCTAGGACAAAGGTCTTCATTCTCAATCAGCTCCTGATTGAGGTTTGGGTTTGGCATGCCTTAGCAGAATAGAATCTTTGTAGAAAGGAGTCTATTTAGCTAAGCCTCTCCACTATTTTTTTAAACTGAATTTTCGTGTGCGGTACCCTGCTTTAATAGAAATAATCCTTATTGAGCCTTGGAGTTTCAAAGTCTATATGGGAGACTTTGCTGGCTTAGAGGCTGCAGCCTTATTCAGGCTGTACTACATCTGAGGTATCACAGAAGAAAATCATCTGACTCCCACCTCTCATCTCAGAGAGACCTACCTGCGCTCTCATGCCACTGGCTCTTTGGTTCCACGAAGGAGTTCCAAATGCCAGTGCCGGCTTTCACTATGCATTTCACACTTTGGTTGTTGACAAAAGTTCACATTCTGCACTGAAGGTGGCATCTGATGGCAAAATGAAAAGATAGGCTTCCAGTGAAAAGGTTTATAGGTAGAATAAACAAATGAGTCAGTCTGGAAGATGGGAGGCTGTGCTACAAGAAACCCTACAATAGTTAATCTGGGGGATTTACTGCAACAGGAGGATCACAGTGCAAATGTGATTGGTGGAGCTTTTAAAGAAAGAAGCAGTTCACACAATGGATTTAGACATGAATGTATGAATGGTTCATTCATTAGATTGGTCTGTCTCATCCAGAAAGCTACCAAGGCTCCAGAAAGACATATGGAAGCTTGGTGTGTTAATGGCTACTAGGCATGGTGGCCACATGCAGTCTCCAAATTCAGGGTTGTTATGCCGCTGATACCTGTTACTGGCTAAAGGAACTGTGGTGCATGCACGCCTGAGAATTATTGTCTTTATATCTTGCTGTTGGACTTCTTAAGGGCATCCAGTTGGTGACTGTGGAAGGAAGAACCTGGGCTAGGAAGGGACCAGTGAGTCCAAGCATTGGTCCCTCTGATTCATGGTTGTCCATAGTGACCAGCTTTAGGTCTCCAAAGTTGCACACTGGAATCTTTCCTGGTCCTACCTGAAGATGTTAGGGACTGAATCTGGGACCTTCATGCTCTGTGACAAGACACAGTACTCTGGTTGGATCCAGCAGCACATTTTGAGATAAGGATGGTGCTGAATCCTACAAGAGTGTCGGTTGCTGTCTTTTGGTTTTGCAGACATGGTGCAACTTTCAAACATGGGATGATTCTCTGGGTCAGGACAACTGTCTCCATGGCATCTAAATGCATAGCAGCATCTCAGTTCTATAATCTGGTATTTGCGGTCTGAGTATTGATTCTTGAAGTGCCTATCTGGGGGCAAATTTAGTTTTTACTGAGCTGTATATTTTGGGGTAGGGAATGTCCATGTTGCTTTTTGAACTAAACAGTACTAACTGAGATATATGTAGCTCATTCTAAGATATATAATCTTGGGCTGCTACTGAAGTGGGTTCAGTTTACTTTCAGTGGGAGGGCAAGTCCACCGTTTCCTGCTTTCCCTTTGCATGATGCTACTTGCGAAAGCCCCACTTCTTGATCACTGGAGCTACAGCAAGATATCATATTGAGTTGACCCTACTTTTATTGGCATTGAAACCATCTGCTTCACTCATTCTGGACTGTTAACAATGTTGAGATGCCAAAAGGCTGATTATTCTTTTGTCCTCTCTTCAATTCTCAGTTAAAGTACACAATTTATCAGTGATTACATTAACCTGTCTATATGTGAGATTCATGGCAGACTTTTTGTCTGGCATTCACCCTTTATGTATAAAGAAATGGGCATTGCTATTAATGATGGACTGTATCTTCAGACAGTATCTTTAGATCTATTACATCTACCTAGCAGGACCCTCAAGCTGATTGTGTTCATTTGTTGATTGTGCTCCATTTGCAGTAAGTTCTCAATTTGAGCCAGTATTTGCTTATTATCTTTATGGGTCATGGATAGTTCATTTGAAAGAGTATGAAAGGAATTGGGAAGATAAGCATGTAAGTGTTGTCTGCAGTGGGGAAACCTTTGCTGTAATTCAAAGTTTTGAAATGAGAAAATCCTACCCAAAATCAGGTGCCTATGTATTTCAAAATCTGGCCACTAGAAGGACTCAACATCAGATCCATCCAGTTCATCCCGAGCACCTAAAGCTCCTTCTGCAGAAAGCTAGATAGTGCTATTTGCTTTTCTCACACAGGTGTCCAGTGTAGGACAAGACCCACAGACCTTGTCTTCATTGTTGACAGTTCCCGGAGTGTACGACCCAATGAATTTGAAAAAATCAAAGTTTTCCTGTCCCAAGTCACTGAGTCGCTTGATGTGGGGCCCAATGCTACGCGGGTTGGTGTCATCAACTATGCCAGCACAGTCAAGAATGAGGTATCCCTCAAGACTCACCGTACAAAGGCCAGTCTGCTTCAAGCTGTTCGGAAGATTGAGCCCCTCTCCACTGGGACCATGACAGGCCTGGCAATCCAGTTTGCAATCAACCGAGCATTCAGTGAGCAAGAAGGAGCCAGAGTACACGCCCCTGAAATCAACAAGGTATGAAAATGCTCCAGGGTTGCAGGAGCCCTCATTCCACATTCTTCTCCCACTTCTTTCCCCCATCTGTTTTTGTGGTAAGGTACAAGCTTGGAGAAAAAAGCAATCTTGATACAGAAAATGTCTGCTAGAACAATCTGTGGAAACTATGTGGAAATCACTCACCCGGTGTCTATCCTTAGCATCTGCTTACTTGGGCTTCTCCAATCTCCGCAGCTGAGCACAGAGGTCCTTAGAGGGAGATATCATTTCATGGATGAATGGCTGCTTGTGGCAATTTTATTTCACTCTTATGCTCCAGCAGCAGCTGACTTCTCTTACAGTGGCATTTCTGTTTCCCAGTTCTCAAATATTTCCTAACGATAGGCCAGGATAGTTCTTTTTGCCATGCTAAAAGTAACTTTTTTGAAGAAAATGGGATTTCTCCCAACACAACCTCTTCCATGGGGAACTAGGTTAAAAAGAAGATGCCAAAGATTCAGGCACTACATTGACCCAGGGCGGGCATCAAGGGTCAGCACTACTGAGCCCTTCGCAAGGTCCCATGAGCCTAACGAGAGGCCTTTGGAGAGGCAGCTCTTCCACTCTATTGCAAGATGCTTAATTACCTACCTTACAGCCTGGCCTGTAAATAATGGAGGTGAAAAGCAGGAGCAGTCAGTGCCATTGCCTGCATGCCAAGAGAGTGGCCGCAGTGAAAATGAGGAGTAGTAGCAATTAGTAAAACATGAGTCTTGTGTTGACTTTAACAGAGATGTTAAGGGTGCCTCCATTTCGAATATGAGTCTCTGCGCAGAGATTCTGTACAAGCATAAATTTTCATCCCACCTCTTTATTGGTTTATTTGATTTATACTCAGCACTCATCTTGGGAACGTTTTTTAAAGCTTAGCTCAATAAAACTAATTAAAATACAGTAAAAACAGAATCAAAACAGGATCGACCCCACAGATCCACTTAAACACCAAGGGTTTTGTTGAATAAAGTTGGTTTTGCCTGTTGTTTGAGTGATAAGTAGGAGGGATAACAAAAAATGAGGATTGCTTCCACAACCTGGGAGGGCCAACAGAAATGTCCTTGACTCCAGGTCAGCTTCAATTCAGTCCCTTAAATTGATATCTCTGGGTAGGCGGGGCTGGTTTGTGTGATCGCCAAGACTACATGCTCCAACTTGCCAATCTACAAGTGAGCAAAACCCCTTGAAAGTTGTTCCAGCCCCAAACCCATAATGGCATAAAGGATGGTCATTGACTGAGTTCTCTCTCCCTGAGATGGTAGCCCCATTTTAGGATTTGGTTGTTGAACGAGCACATATAGTGATAGGCCATTCTGTCATAAATATCTATACAAAACCCTTGCAAGGAAAACTCTATGCCTGGAAGGTCTCAATAGATTTTTGATCAAACATCTGTAGTTCAGGGTGGAGGGTGCCAGCTAGCCACCAAGCATGTCAATTCTGCATGAAGAGACCCCTGAAAAATTTAAGGAGAAACAATGCCATATATTGTTCAGTCATAAAATGATAATGCACTCAACCTCGTGGTTTGGAATACACCTCAGCATATCACAGTGAAATTTAAACTCAGATTGTTTGAAAGGGAGGGATTGTCAGCAAGAAATATGGTCCTATCTCTGTCCATAAGGACAAAGGCTTCCACAGTCCACAAAGCTTCTTTTAGGAAGCTGAAAAGGGGCTGTTCTATGAGACGTAACATTATATGCTGTTTCAGCACCTTTTCAATCCCTGGGGAAAAATAAATATGTCTGGGAATGCTTTGCTCAGCAGGTTCCGAAAACCTGAAACAGTTTTGAGCCTGCTCTTAACATTTCAAAAATAATCCACCAAAAAATCTTGCTCTCAGATTTCATAAAATTTGGCCAATGCATCATGCTATTTATCTTCAAGGTTGAAAGCTTGTTGCTGTTGTTGTTGTTGCTGCTGCTCCTGTTGTGTGCCGTCAAGTCCTCCTTGACATATGGCAGCCATATGAATGAATGACCGCTCTCCAAAATGCCTTGTTCATCATGGTGGAAATTGCATAGGAGGGGTCCAAAATCATGTTCCTCAGTGCAGAAATCCAGTTTAGTCTGTCTGCAGAGAGTTCCAGCAAGGAGACCTCCTAGCTCAGGGAGTTGGTGCTCTTGTTTGAGCATTCTGACCAGTAAGAAGTTTTTCTGATGTTCATCTGAAATCTGCCCCCATCTCCTACCATCTTGTATGAGAGAATAGGTTGAGACCCACTTCTGTGTGGCAGCCTTTCAGATGCTTGGAAAAAACTATATCCCCCCCGCCCCCCGCCGTCTTTTCTCGTTGGAACATTCCCTTCTATCTTTCCTCACAGGACTTAGTTTCTAGTGCCATGATAATCTTTATTGCCCTTTCAGAACTCATTTGAAATTGTCTAAATCTTCCTTAAGTTGAGGTATGCAAAACTGGACACGGCATTGGAGGTGATATCTGACCAGCGCCAAATAGAACTGTAACTTCCTGAGGTTCTGAACCGATACTTTTGTTGATGTGACCTAAGACTGCAAATATGAAACATAAATCTAAGAGAGGAGCTGCATCTAAAACCCAACTGAACACTTGGGCAGAATCCACTTATGTTCGATGAGTGTCAAAATGAAATTATACCCCCACTCTTTTCAATTGTGTACTGTGGTCAGTGAAGATCATAATATGACAGTGTCTTATTTTTGAACCAATGTAATCGCAATTTGACAAGGAAATTAAAAGGAAGCTAAAAGAAAGCTACCTTCTACTAAGGCACAAACATGTACAATTGAACTAGCTCATCAGACAGTCTCAGGATGACTTCTCTACATGGACCTTAGAGGTCATCTAATCCAATCCTCTGCTCAGCACAAGATCTGCCATGCAGGATGCAACTACAGCAAAGCATCCCTGCCAGATGCCTTCCCAGACATTCCTTACACGTGTCTAGGAAAGGAAGGCTCACCACCTCCAAGGCAGTCTGTTCCATTGTCTTATTGTTTGCACATTTCTCCTAATCCTTGGGCAACCCCTCCATCCATTGGTTCTAGAGAACAAATTGCTTAATTGTTGGTGGGATTGCTCCTCAGACATTTGAAGACCACCATAGACACTCTCTAATCTTATTTTCTTAATTGCTTTTAAAATTAGTGCTGATAAAAATGGCATGTCTTACTTTCATAGCCCAGCTGTTTTTCAGGCTAGAAAGTGAGAAAAGGGAATTTGGGCTATTTTATGGGGAGTGTATTTCAAGGGCAGCTCAGCATGAAAAACTCACTAACACTTCTAGCTTTTTGCTAGTGCAGGCAGCCACCTATAATTTCCCCATAACATATTGGAATGACCCTTCAGCAGCATCATTCTGAATGGTGTTATAGGGCACAGTGCATTTTTCTTGCTTTCTGTCTTGCCCTAGCACAGCTCAGGGCTCCAGGGGAAGAACAGAATTACTGTTGTTTTCAGATCACCTCTGTGAAGGTCATGCCCAATAAACAAGGTCCCAGCTGATAGGCAAGGCAAACCAAAGCAAGGGCTGTCAGGACCCTGGACAGATCACTATAGCGGTTAAGGGCTGAAGCTCATACAAGAAGAGCAGTTGTCTCAGTAACATGCAGAGGCCATCTGAACTCTTCTGAATGCTGGAAGCTGATGGACTTGCTGATGCTTCCAGAACTACCAGAGATCTAGCTGCTTCTTAAATGAGTATTGCTCATTTCTATACAGGTAGCCCCTATGGTGTGGGGGCAGTGAGGACTGCCCTCAAGGGAACTCAGGAGCCTGGCTAAGTCAAGTGCTCTTATCTGGAAGTTCTTGGAGTATCTGATGATGGATTGGTGGATTAAGCTTCCTCTTGCTCTGAAATATTATCTGAAATAAAGGGGAAGGGGAATCAAAGCCGGAGAACAGGGCATCTTCTTCCAAAAACATTTGTGCAAAAAAAAAAAAAAATCATTTTTTAAAATGGATTTAAATAATTTGTACCTCCTTGATCTATGCGTAGATTGAAATGCAATTTTCAGTCAGAAATTCATGCTTCCCTAACTTTGGGCTTGACAACATTCCTACCTCTGAAAAAATATGCAAAGAGAAATGCACCCATTTAAAAATGGTCAGGAAATCCTTACTTTAATATGTGTGTGTGTGTGTGTGTGGTGTATAAACTCTCTCTCTATATACACACACACACACACATATATACTTGTACTATATATATATATATTTGTACAAATATTTATATGGCTATTTTTAAGAAAAGAATTGCAAACTCACGCAGAAATGGGATGCCACAATCTCATTGACAACTTTGGTGACACTGAGAATGATAGAACTGCCACCCCTACTGCAAAATTCATCCTGTTAACATGTGCAAGGAAGGAGGCAGTTTCCTCCCGCTTTTGACTCCTATCTTTTAGAATTTCAAAAGTTTAAAAACCTAAGGCATTCTACAGTTCACCACTTACCTCTTTAAATGATGTACCTACCTAGTTACATTTTGAATGGTTCATAGCCTATTTTAGGACAATTAAAATTTTCTGGTGGAGCTTTAGCTGGAACACCTAGCAGCTTTAAAATTGGTGGAAGACAGGCTATGGAGAGTCAGTGTATTGTAGTGATTCAAGTGCTGGACTGGGAGTCCAGAACTCTGTGTTCTCAATCACACCTGGCCCTGTTGTTCACTGGGCGAGTCACGGTCTCTCAGCCCAACCTGCCTCACACAATTGCTGTTGCTCACAGAGGATAAACTGCAGAAGGGGATCATCTTTCACGTTGTCTTGGGTTCCTTGCAAAAGGGAAAAAAGCGACCTATAAATGCGATATGAAAATAATGCATAAAAAGTATTATAGCAGCCAGCAGAGAGGCAGGAACTTTCAGTGATGAGGGGCGGAAGGAGAAGTGAGGCATATACAGCCTGAGAACAGAAAAATCTCAAGCTTCTTTCTAATGGTTGCATTTTTTGAGCCTTGAGCTGGGGTTAGCAACCTGGTGCCTTACAGATATTTGGGGAAGACGTATTAGCCAGAAGTAGCCTGATATTTGTGAATTTTGTTGATTGCACCTTTGTTGCTTGGAAGACCTCAAACTCAAGGATGATGGGCATCCACTGGAAAGTGGGAGCAGCAGCAGAGCTCAGCTCCAGCTCCCCACATCTCCCCTTCTTCATTCCAACTGGGCAGCCAGTTTTGGCAATGCAGCTGAGGTGCTTCAAAGAGAGAGGGAAGGAGGCTGCAGTTCTACCGGGATGCACTGTATCCTGGTGGTCCCAATCCCCTCCATTATACCCCACTCCATTATACCCCTTTATATACTCCATTATATAAAGAATTCTCCCTTTACCCCACTCTCTGTGATGGATTTCCTGATCTTGGAAGGGAAAGATCTACATCTTTGCCAAGAGGAATCAATTTATCTGTAATTACATCCCCTCACAAATGTTGCAGCCCATATTCTTTGCAACAGCTCCTTTAATGCTTCTCTTGGATTGTGGAAAACAGGTTTGATTTGCTCTAATTGGCAAATCTCTCTATCTCACCAAACATGCATTCTTCTTCGTCCACTTCCTCATCTTGCACAAGAGAAGCTTCTCACTTTGACTTTTTCCACCCAGTTTGTTAAATAAATGGCTCTCTCTTCTGGCAAGCAAGGGAAATTGCATGATTCTCCGTCAACTATATTGTATACTTCAGTCATGTTTAAGGGAGCCAGGATGACTTTTGCTTCTTGGAAAGTGCCCATGTAAGGAGAGAATTGCATCTAAAGAGGCTAAAGATCCAATGCAGAAGCTTAATTCTGCCCTGGCAGTTGTCTCCTCCTGAATTTCATCCTCAGCTGTTCTTCTCTTAGAAATGTGCCAGACAGAAGTTGATGATGTATTCTAAGCTATAAATTAGTTCCTAAGAAGGATTTTTTCACCTCAATCTCTCTCTGAATATATATATAGACACACACATAGACATACATACATATATATGAATGAATTAGGGTGGAGAGAGAAAATGGCAGGAAGAATCTCACTCCCTGTTTTTCTGGTTTCTTTTTTTCAGGACTTCACTTCAAGGCAGCCATCATAGAGAATCATGGCCATGATAACCATAGGTCATGATAATGCATGAGAACTAGGAACTTTTTTTGTTTGGCTCAGGTAAAGTCCTAGACCAGCCAGGAACCACTTTATAGCTCTTCCTGTCCTGGTGGGGCCAAATCAGAGCCAAAACACATTTCCTTCCCAGGGAAATCTTCCAAATGGAGAAATTCACCCCTTGCTATTGCATGAGGGTCAAGGGGGCAAGCTATCCCCCCCCCATGCACCCCTCCCCAAGAATGCTGTGCTGAATGCACACTGGCTGCAGGAGCAAAGCTTTTGTTCTAATTCAGGAAAGGCAGGCAGGCACACTGCTGCTCATGTGACATTCAGCTGTCAATAATTAAAAGAAAGATTTTGGAAATTCCCTGAAAGCCGCTGAACCTTTTCTCTATGGAGGTTGTGTGGGTAGAGAAAGAATATGCACCCCTGCACTACTACTGAAGGTGATTTTTAATGTGGATTTGCATTTGGGAAGCCTAAATCATTTGTGTCCCTTAAAACATCTGACCATCTGATTCCTGTAAAATAGATGTCAACCCACAAATAGTACCCATTATTTCTCTTGTCTTTACGCATCACTATAAGAGGAAAGATTCAACCTTGCAAATACCCACAGTGTTCTTTGTAGGAGAGACTCAGTAAGGCGAATGCTTGCTTGCTTGCTTGTTTACTTGCTTGCTTGCTTGCTTGCTTGCTTGCTGAATGGCTGCTTCTGAGGAATTCGTGTCTTGGTTCCAAGTAGAGCAAGCTGGGTGGCAACCGTGGCTCTAAGGACATCCTGTGAGTTGAGATGGACACCACCAGGAAGAAGGCAGTTGGACAGGCCCTCAAGTTTCCACTTCTCTGTCCTCAGGTGGCCATCATAGTGACGGATGGGCGGCCCCAGGATATGGTGAAAGACGTAGCGGCGAGGGCAAGAGCGCTCGGGATCGAAATGTTCGCGATTGGTGTGGGCCGCGTGGACATGCACACCTTGCGGCAGATCGCCAGTGAGCCTCTGGAGGAACACGTGGACTATGTGGAGAGCTATAGCGTCATCGAGAAGCTGAGCTCGAAATTTCAGGAAGCATTCTGTGGTAAGCTTCCACAAGGGGCAGGGGAACTCTTTCCATCCGAGTGGTGAATTCTGCTCCAGAGAAGCCCTGGGGAACTTCCTTTCAGTGCCAGAGTCCAAAAGGGATGGAGCTGAGAATAGATAAATAACCCCACACCCAGCATATTGTAATTTGACCCTCTCACTGCCCACACTGGGTACTGCTGTTGCTGTTCCTGCTTCAGGCCGGACTGTCTGTCTTGCCTGCCTCCACTGCATCCTCCAGAAGGCACTTTAAAGCCCAATCGTGGATGGCAGAGACAGTCCCCATGGTGCTACTCCTGGCTGAGGCTTTCTTTAGGATTTTATTTTGTGCTCTGAATGCTGGTGATAGTGGCTACTGAAGCCTCTTTGGTGCAATATTGTTTGGGGTTTTATTTCTCCCCTCCCCCACCTCTCCTTTTTGGTGTTTGTTTCTTGGATTTTGTCTGCAAACTGCTTTGAGTTGCGTTGATAAAATAGAGCATAGAATAATAGAATAGTAAAGCAGGAAGTGGTCAGGGGGCCATCAGGTCCAATCTCTTGCTCAGCGCAGGACTCCAAGTGAAGCCACCCCTCCCAGCACACAACCCTCCCAGGTCATGGGTTCCATTCCTGTACTGCTCCAACAGTCAGGGCATTTTTCCTGTTATCTGGCCAGAATCTGGCTTTCTGCAACTTGAGCTCATTATTCCATGTCCTGCTCTCTGGAGTGATGGAGAAGTGATCCTGCCCTTCCTCTCTGTGACAGCCTTTCAAGTACTTGTAGAGTGCTATCATATTCTTCTCTTCACCAGGCTAAACATGCCCATAGGCCATAGTCTTTCCATCTCTCGTCATAGGGCTTTGCTTCTAGTCCCTGGATCCTCCTTGTTGCTCTCCTCTGAACCCCTTCCAGCATGTTTGCATCGCTTTTGAACTGTGGTACCCAAAACTGGATACGGTAGTCCAGATGGGGCCTAACCAGTGCTGAGTAGAGGAGAACTAGTACCTCATGGGACTTGGAAGTGCTGCTTTTATCATTGTGATCTTGAACCTCCCTGGTTCTCCCATCCCTATGCATGGGCAAAGAGAGGAAGCTGCATTTCCACCTGTGGGTGACAAAGCATATTCAAGACTATCTCTTTGCTGCCCTTTCTTTGGCCTGGCTTACACTCAGACAAGTGTAAAGTAATTTAAAAAAATGTGGGCTCAAAACATGTAGCTGTCTATAATGCAGAGAGGGTAAGTTCAGGATTTCCTGCATTAAATAAAACCATCTGGAGGATGCAGTCCAAGCATTGCTTCCGTGCCAATTTCCCAATTAAACTGGCCCCATGAAGCACTCCTGTATCGACATCACACAACTACACATATGGTACCATTCTATTTCCCCTGGCAGGGTAAATATTAGCTCCAGATGGTGATTTTTGAAAAGGAAAATTGCTGGGGGTGGGAGGAGAAGCAAATTTTTATGATCTGCTCCTCCAGTAGCACAATTGCAATCCCATGCCCTGTTTTGGGGGGGGTTGGGCAGATAATTGCTGTGGATGTTGAGTCAACCTGTAAAATGATTAAAGCATTGGGGGATTTCCATACCCCGGCCTTCTGTATAGGATCAGATCTTAAAGCAAGGAGATCTATACTGTGCAACTTGAAAAAAGAGTTAGAATCAGCTTCTTTCTGTGCACTGTGAAATCTTGATATATGTTAACATTACATGTAATTATTTTACAGCGGTGTCTGACCTCTGTGCCACGGGAGACCACGACTGCCAGCAAATCTGTGTCAGTGCAGGGACTTCATATACCTGTGCTTGCAAAGAGGGATTCATACTGAACAGTGATGGGAAAACTTGCAGCGGTAAATAGCCCTGTCTTAGACTTGGCAAGTGTGGAACAGTTCCTAGGCTTGTCCATCTGGGATGCCAGGCCTCAGGCCTGGGAGCTAAGTGTGCCCCTCTGGGGTTCCTGGGAAACTGTGCCCCCTTCCTATGGACTCTTTTCTTGCTGTAAAGGGAAGACCTTCCTGCTGCTTTAGCAAAGCCCTCTGAATTCCTGGTTGTGTCTAATCAGGGCCAGCTCCAAGCTTGCATGAAGTCTTGGGCGTGATTTTCCATAGCTAGGGGCAATGTGCAGCCACAGAACCTCTCTGTCATCCTCCTGCTTTTCTACCCTACAAATATGGGACCTCCCCCCCCCCAAAAAAAAAACAGGCACAGAGGGGGAGAAGATCATGGTGGTGGAAAGGAGAATGGGACAGGAAGTGGCATAGGGTCTGGGTTGCCATGTTGGGGTTGCCTGGCTGTAGACTGTGCCTGCTTCTGCTCTCTAGTTTTACTGGGCCAGTGCCCCTAAAGGCCAGAACTGGATAATAGTTTTGAAGATGATGAGATGTGGTATTCATTTGCTATATTTCTACACTGCCCAATAGCTGAAGCTCTCTGGTGGTTCACAACAATTGAAAGCATAACATACAAGATGATAAAACACAATTAAAAGCTTACAGATTTTAAACTACAACACAGAAATGAAAACAAACCAACACATAGAACTTAGCAGCAGTGCAAATATTTAAAATGCAGTATCAGGTTTAAAGTAAAACTGAAATGCCTGGGAAAATGCCTTCCTGGGTACAAGAAACAGTGTGGTGTAGGCACCAGGCAAGTCTCTCTGAGAGAATCATTGCACAACCTGACACCAGCAAAGGTCCCTTTCTTAGTAGGTACCCATCTCCTTTCCTTCGGCCTGTCAGTGAAGGACCTTTGAAGTGGATCTTATGGTTCAGACAGGTGTATATGGAGGTAGACACTCCTTCAACTAACCCATCCACAAGCCATTCAGAAATATAAATGTTAGCAGCAGCACTTCAGGAAATGAGCTGACATCTGGTGATGATGGAGAAATATTGGCATAATACTCGGAATCGGCATCATCAACATATTGGTGACACTTCAATCCCTATCTCTAGACAAGCTCTCTGAGTGGTTTCATGGAGATGTTGAATAGCACAGGGGAGAAAACAGAACTCTGTGCCATCCCATGGCATAACTGTCAAGGGGCAGAGCAAGAATCCCCCAACACCACCATCCGGAATCAGCCATTCAATGAAGTAGCTTCAACTGTCAGCTCAAGTAGCCAATTCAGAAGGATGCCACGGTTGGGGTTACTGAAAACCACTGCGGGTTCCAAAAAAATCGGCAGAGTTGTACTCCCTTGCTCAGCAATGGTCACCGCACAGGGCAACCCAAGCACTTTCTATTCTAAAACCAGGCCTGAACCCAGTGGAAATGGAACTAGATAATGAGGTTCATGCAAGAGTGCCCAGTCTAGAGCAAGCACTTGCTTAAGCACCTGCCCAGGGATGAGTAGCAGGGGTCGTGTGGAATATATCAGAGAATTATGCTGAAGATTCAGAAGTTGCGCAACCACAAAGCAATTCCCCACAGAACCACACTTGGGCGCTTACGAGTAGGCATCGGTCATGTTCCTCTGAGTGGACTACTTACCTCACTTCTGTGTTTCTTAGCGTAATTTCTGTTGCTCTTCTGTGTGCCCGGGAGGCTGGTTGGAAGGGTGGATGGGAGGTTACACTAGAAAGCAAGCAATAACAAGAGGGCCATTCTTATAGGCCCTGATGGCTGATGGACACTGCATCCTTTCCACCCCTTCAGCATAACTACACTGCTTGTGCCATGTCTTCAGTCCTTAAATGACCTTCCTGATGCTGTTCAGATAGCCAGAAAAGCAACAGAGATGCACAGATCACTTCATCTAAGACTTTGCACTGGCTGCCATTGACAGAACAAGGGATCCAGCAAAATATAAGAGCTCCTTGAGAAAACTAAGCATCTAGTGACTAGCAGGATTAAGGAGAGCACCCAGTAGATCAAACACAACCAACTCAGTTTTTAGAAGCTGAGATTGGGGAACATTCCATAGTGCCAAGAATAAATAAATAGGTTGAACCAATCTCTGGACTCTCTAATGCATGCCAATGAAAATGCCTTCCCCCAATTTCCTGTCTAAGAATAAACAGTGGCCCTCTTGCATGGCCAAAGAGAACATACACTCCGCTTTCCACATAGCCTTTATTGTGCTTCAACATCTGAATGTCAAGTTGTTAAGAGAATGTAAAAACTAGACAAGCTAAGCTAGGCATGGTACCCTAGCATCCTCAGTTGTGTGAATTATATATACATACATAAGGTACACAGTAATACCCTTGGATGTGGTACTCAGCACTTCAGTATTTGGCTGTAGTGCCTGGGTAGAGTCAGGCTAGTTAAGTGTTTTGTTTTTATCCTTGTATTTTGGAATTTTTATGCCCTGAACTCTGTTCAGTATACAGCATGAATTAGAAATTTCTAAATAAATAAATGAACTAGTTGGATCTGTGGTCTGATCCAACAGGGACTTTTAAGCATTTAGAAACTTGCATATTTTCTTTAAAGTATAAATTGGTTTGATTCATTAATTCCCAATCAGTAACAGCTGTTATGATCTGAACTATGAAAGAAAATCTAGCAAGATCCCCCCCCCGCCCCCACATTGGAAAACAGGATTCATTAACGTATTTTCCATATATTTGCTAAATTCATGCTTTAAAAACTGTTTCTAATTAAAATGAAGAGGTGACTATTTCAGCTCCTTTTTTTGGGTTTTGTGTTTTTCCGGTTACTTGCAGCCTGCAGTGGAGGGGCTGCCACAGATCTTATTTTCCTGATTGATGGGTCCAAGAGTGTCAGGCCTGAAAATTTTGAGTTGGTGAAGAGATTCATCAACCAGATTGTGGATTCCCTGGATGTGTCAGACAAAAACGCACAAGTGGGCCTTGTCCAGTATTCCAGTACAGTAAGGCAAGAATTCCCACTGGGGCGATTCAAGAACAAGAAAGACATCAAAGCAGCAGTGAGGAAGATGACCTACATGGAGAAAGGCACCATGACTGGCCAAGCTTTGAAATATCTAGTGGACAATTCCTTTGCCATCTCCAGTGGAGCAAGACCCGGAGTTCCCAAGGTAGCTATTGTGTTTACTGATGGCCGGTCACAGGATTACATCAATGATGCTGCCAAGAAAGCCAAAGAATTGGGTAGGTTTTCAGAAATTACTACTGTTGCTTTGCAATATCCTGATTCAGATGCAACATTTTCGGGGGATTATCTGATGGTTGTTGTTTAGCCACAAAGTCATGGCCAACGCATCACAAGCAGATGGACAACAGTCCCCCAGGCTCTCCTGTCCTCCACCATCCCTTGGAGTCCACCCAAGCCCACACCCACTGCCCCAGTGACTCCATCTAGCCATCTCATCCTCTGCCGTTCCCTTCTCATTTTGCTGTCAATCATTCCCAGCATCAGGGTCTTCTCCAGTGAGTTGTTCCTTCTCTTCAGGTGGCCAAAATATTTGAGTTTCATGTTCAGTATCTGGCCTTTTAAAGAGCAGTCAGGGTTGATTTCCGTTGAGATTGACTGGTTTGATCTCTTTGCAGTCCAAGGGACTCTCAGGAGTCTTCTCCAGCACCTTCTCCAGCCATCTGATGGTAGCATGCCACAAACTCTGTATCAGCATACCTGTATTGCAGATCTATAAGCAGAAACTGTATATAAGCTAACATTATTTCTGGTGAAGAGTTGTTTGGATTTGCTGGACTTTCTCTTCCATGCACATAGTCTGAGTAAACCTTGCTGGCTTCTTTCCTGGCATGTTTCCAGATTCACGGTTTTGCTTCTAGGAACTGTTTCCAGGTTTGGTTCCAATCTGCACCACCAGGGATAACCTAAGAACAATCTGGGGATGATTTGGTTTGCTCAGTGGCCATGGAGTGAAGGAGAATGGAATGGAGTTGTCAAGGCACAGGGCACTTTACACTGCAATATGTTGTGGCAGGCAGTACTTTGCACGTAAAGAATGGGTTGCAAGACTTTCACAGAGGCAACACCAGGAGGACAATCAGTTCTTGTTTCTCGCAGGTTACAAGATGTTTGCCATTGGAGTGGGCAATGCTGTTGAAGATGAACTGAAAGAAATAGCCTCTGAACCGGTGGTGGAGCACTACTTCTACTCTGCTGATTTCCGAACCATCAACCAAATTGGGAAGAAGTTACAAAGTAAAATGTGTGTTGGTGAGTGACGTCATGCACGGCAGGTGCAGCACTTGCTCTGGCAAGTAGTGGGAGATCATAGCCATAATGGTAGTGCAGCCTAGCAGTGTTGCAAACTCATAATGTTAATTGATGGAGTGCTTTGGCCTGCAAGGAAATTCATTGAACCCAACCCAACCACCTTCTCTGTGAAAGGTCTAGACACCTTCCTGGCAGTCTCTTGTGGAATTATTTTTACATCTGGTGTCCATATATTCCTATCTGTAAGGTTAACTACGTGCTCCTTTCATAGGGCTCTTTAAACTATGGACAACCCTTCAAATAGGTGATGCCTTCAAATAGAACCCTCTGTAAATTGGAACAGATGGTTGTTCTACAGTTTTGCAAATTGATGATAAGCATCATTGTGCTTTGAGTTTCTGATTCCTAGATTAGCAGATCAGAGGAAGCTGCCTCAACTGCTCTAGGGACGCTGGTACACAACCAACCAAGCTCCCAAGGACTGAACAGGGAGAGCAAATAGGAGTTTGGTGGCACAATTTAGCAGGACAATGACAATGGAACCAATGACCTAGAGAGGTTGTGGGCTCTCCCACACTAGGGGCATTCAGGATGCAACTGGACAGCTATCTGAGAGGCCTAGTTTAACTCAGTGTCCTGCACTGAGCAGGGATTGGACCTGATGGTCCTCTTGTAATTTACAACTCTGCTATTCTATGATTCTGTGATTTTGTTCTGTGTGGAACATGGTGATTAATGATAAACAGAATAATCCCCAGGGGACAGCCAGTACTATTTTCTGCTTGGGATCCAGGGATTTTCATTTAATCCCCATGATACTGGAAGGAAAATATTCTTCCAGTGTCCACTTCGGATACCATCTTTGAGGTTCTAACATTCAATTTAAAGCTCAAAGGGCCCAATCCATTTTTAAGATGAGGACAAGTTTGCCAAACAACTCCCGTTAAAATGTTGCATTGCTTATATTGTTACTTGATGTACATTGTCTTGATGCGTTCAGGCTCTTGGCTAGAGAAAGAGTGTTACCTAAGCTTCCACTGATGCCCAGGAATGAGCCTTCATTGAATTACTTTGTTTTCTCTTCCCCAGAAGAAGATCCATGTGAATGTGAAGCCATCGTGAAGTTCCAGACAAAAGTAGATAACCTCCTAAAGGCATTGACACGGAAGCATATCCTTTGGGAATTGTTTGGAGTAAAGTATGTTAGGGTGGTTTTTTCTTGTGTGTTTTTGGGAAGGCAGAGGGATGGGTGATTAACTTTTCCAGTATGCTTGGAGATTAAATTGGCATTAGAATCATACTCCTGGCTTTTCCGATAGGGTGATTAATTGCATGAAATGATGGCTTCCTTTATGTTAGCATCAGTGTGGAAGACCAAAGTTGATCATCTGCCGCTTTCTGAGATCTGTATGACAAGTCCAGCCCGCCCAAATGCCTCTTCACAGTGTGCATCTCTGTAAGAGACAGAACATGTAGCTACGGCTCGGGCAAACCTAAGGGAACAAGGCAATACTTAGGCAGGAGGCTGTGCAAGGTAAGTGACCGTCTTCCGGCCAACTCATTCAGCCCTGAGCAATCGAGTCAATGTCTGATAAGGGCGAGCATTTTGGCCACTTTGTTGTCCAGAGGTACACCACTTTGCCCTATGACAAAAGGTCATTTTTATGCTTCAGCATTATGGGTAGGATCCAAATGTATGCATGCTCTGAACCACTGACATCGATGGGATAAGTTAATCCTGACTGATTGAAGTCACATTGATGTCAATGGCTCTAACACACATACACATACACAGCGATGTTGTGTAAATGGTGTATGTCCCTCCTCGATGGCCAGATCATCTCTAATCCACTGTTATCATCTATATGCATCAACACATGTACACATTACATAGTTGATATCCCAAATTAACCATGCCATTTCTATAGCGTATAGGTGCAATTTAGATGATCCCTTCAGAGAACACCCTGGGAAAAAGGGACCCTCCAGGATCAGAGGCGGCTGGCTGGCTGGGCTAGCACTGGCCACAGACCAGGAGATGGGAGGCACGCAGATGGCAGGAAGGGGTGATTCCTTTCATGCTGCACTTCCAGCTTAAAAGTACCCCACTCTCCACTGTGGGAAACAAGGTGGTAGATTTGATCAGGGGTCACATCCCAGTTGTGAGGGTTCCTTTATGGAGTCCATCCTTCCTTTTCATCTTCTGCTTCCTTTTCATCTTCTGCTTTCAACTTTAAGCTTTCTTCTCCAGTGCATCTTGCCTTCTTACGATGTGCCCATACTACTGCTTGAAGTGTTCATTGCCTTTAACTGAGCTTTAGGAAAGGCATTTCAGTATTTTAGAATGGAGGATGTTTGGGAGTTGGGTGAAAGGGAGGTGACCCAGAGAAAAGGAGCAGGGCTATCTGCAGAACCTTAGATGGACAGGTTGGAACCCCCTAGAAGGATAGATCAGGACCTCCTGGCCTGAGGTTTCCACCCTGGACTAGAGAAGGATTGCTTCTGATCCAGTAATTTGTTGTGTTCTTTTACATCTTCATGTTTCATGCCTTTGATCCAACCAGTCAGAATCAGCATAACCTCCGAGAGCAATTCCACCTTCTTTTCAGACCTCCTCCTTGATTATTCCTTAATTCCCACTCACTGGAAGCTGTGACAAAAAGGTTGACCGCCTTAGAAAATAGGATCACCATTTAAAAAAGCAGGAACATGTGTGCTTCTTCCCAACTTAAACATGCCAGAAGACTTTGACCGATGTGGATGGGCAGCTCTTCTCTTAGCTACACCAGGATTGGCTTTATGAGGTTCCTTCATCTTGAAAGACTAAAAATTGTAATGGTAGAGTATAGGTCATGGTAAAGTAGCAGGCATCCTTGTGTACCCAGCTAGGTTAAACTTTCCTTGCATCATAGAAAATGCATATAAGAAATAATTGGAGGATTTGTTTTAATCTAAAGCTTAATATATATATATATACACATATATATACACACATCTATATTCAAAGATTAGTAAGTTCTTTTAATGAGTTCTGTGAATGCTCACCAGTTCTTTTGCATTCTCCTTTTTTCTTTCATTTAGTTTCTGTATATGCCCTCATTTTTAAGAACTGAATTGGATTAACATGAATTTGATCGTTCTTTCTTTTCGTTTAAGTGGAAAATGTATAATTTATGCATAAAACATTTATCTAGTCATAGAGAAAACAATTAGGGAATATTAAGTGTGGCTTACGGGAACAGACGCTTCTGCCACAACTCCTACTTGGGGTACAAGAAGAAAGAAGGCGAGTGTGGATCTTCTGAAAACTATGGCCAACATTTCTGCTCACCAGCAATAGTGCAAAAATTGTATGGGGTCAAGTCTGGTTTTGCATGATGGATTCATCCATGGATTTATTTGCAGTTGCACAAGACTGCTTACCTAATGCAGCAAGATACCATTGCTTCCTATGCTACTCTCTTGAATGCCTACACCACCATATCTGATGTCAATAGCATCCATACCTCAAGCAACTGAAGTCATAATCAAAGCAAACAGTGCAGGACACTGCTGCTGGAGAAGCTCTGGCTTCAAAGTTCTCATTTGCATGTCGCCTGATCAGCGTTCCTCCTGGCCATGAACACTGCCCCAGTTTTAGGTGATCCTAAAACCATAGACCAATATGGACCCATTCTGGGGGATTCTTTTGCTCCAGGTGAACAGACCTGGTCCTGGTTGGTCAAGAAGGGACTCATCATACCAAGGCATGCTGAGTGACACATGCACATCACCCCTGCACCCTTCCCAAAGTAAGCACGAGTGCTTGGGTTTTGGTTAATTTTGTAGGGGTTTGTATCAGAATATTTATACTTAAGAGTATGTAAAAGGCCTCTCAGAATAACAAAGCACCCAGAATTGTCATGACAGATTTTTTTGGGGGGGGGGTGTAGAAAAAAAATAAAGTTCACCAAAAAAAGTAGACTGTGTTTGGGGTTGTTGTTTCTTTTGGGTTTTGTTTTATACACTTTAGGGGTTATTCAGTGCAAAAAGGAGGGTTGATTTTATCAACTTATATTCATTCATACCAGTTCATATGCCATTTTATTGTGTATTGTGCAATGGATCATGAATATCTTCCTTCATCCACTCAAAAAGAAGCAGCATTTGATCAGATTCATGGAAATCAGCCCATCATTTGCCAGGCCGCCTTATATCCAGGAGAGGCCCACAGTTGCAAGGTCTGTGGGGCAGTGCCTTCACTCTGGTTTTTGGCCTGAACATTGAAGAAGCTATCCCTGGACCTCATTCCTACTTATATTAGCCCACAGACAAAGAGTGGAAATCCAAACAAACAGCATCCAAACAGCAAGTATCCAAGCAGCACTGGAAACTTTGGCTTGCAAACGTTTGGAAAGAGAATTTCATTTGTTCTATTACCGCTACTGCCAGTGTTTGAGAAGTTTCTCAAATTCCCAACCATGCTCAAGGGGGTGAAAAAGGTTGGGCATTTCTTCACAACAAACCAGTTCTCAATCAGCTATGTATGAATCAAAACTAAAGTGGGTATGTTTGTATGCCAAAGTTTAGAAAGAGGATTTCCTTTTTTTTTTTTACTGCTATTGCCAGTTTTTGTAAGAAAGACTCCTGTATAGCACTGGGGAAGTGTCCAGTTCTGTCCCATGTGTTAGCAGGACCCACTGCTGGTACACACTGGGAAGCCACTGGAAGGGAGCAGAAACAGCTCTTTATCTGTCACACTATTTATTTTGAGCATTTCAGCTGCTTTCCAGTGGGAAACCTATTCTGGGGGGCGGTGTTCATGGAGGGCTCTTCAAAGCTCAGACCGAAATCAATCTGCCACGAATGAGCACACACACTGGCATAGGAGCCTGCAGTCTCTCCTGGGAATCCATGGATCTGACCCAGTTCGGAAAAATTTGCAAAGTTTTCTGGGATTTCTTTAGCAGCTTCCTGGCCATGCGAATGTGGTAGCAATACTTGGTACTACCCTTAATTCTGTTTCTTTCTCCTTAATTCTGTTTCTTGGCTGAATCAGTTGAATGCATTTTTCTTCAGGAATAGTTTCTGCCTTGCGTCCTCTGCGTTTTGAGGCTTATTTTCAAACACAAATGCTGAATATAACCAAGGACAGGCAAAACTGCTGCTCTGTATCAGATCTCCAGCCCAGCATCCCCAGACGCTTCTGGCATTCAGACTTCCCCTCTGCCTCTCCTTTGCTCAAATTACATTTCTCACTCTGTGCCAAATTTACCTGCTCTCTCTCACTCTCCCCACTCCCTATCCCATTTCATTCTTTCCTTGTCCCTTTCTCTTTCTGTCTTGCTCAAGCTGCTTCCAGTCTTTTGTTCTTTCAGGTCACAAATATCCCCGGACTTTCTGATCACCTGCAGTTCTGCCACAGGAAACAGAAGGCCTAGATGTGGGTTTTCATTGTTGGATGCACCATGTTGCTTCTGACAAAACAAGGTGGAAAGTATTTTAATTGCAGTCACCTTTTCCTGGATTGACATTACGGGGTTATTAATATTTGCAGTATTTTTGATGTACCAATTATTTTCTCTGGGGATGAGGCTGGGTTTCTAAATATGGCAGGGACTGCTGCTTGGTTTGTTCTTTCCCCTTTCCCCTTGCACTTTTGGCATACATCTTATTTATTTAAACAAAGCCATAAATTAATGGATCAATATTCACAATCTACATGAAAAAAGAATCCCTGTTCTAATATGCACAAAGAAAATGGAAGCCATTGCAGTGGAAATCCACAATACTGAAAAACAAGAAACCCTGACCAAACAATAGTTTTACCAGCATATATTGTGGCATATTTTGTTTTTGTTTTGCATATTTAGCTATGTGAGCAAAATTGGGATGTAACACACATGGAACCAATAGAAATAATTGTTGATTGATTTTATTTTCCCTATTTTTTTTCCTTCCAAATGTTACAAGTAAGGGATGGGTAACATTTCCTAAAACGGGGATGTTGAACCTCTTTCAGTCTGAGGGCCAAATTCTATGTCAGAGAAGCATTTGGTGTTGGCAAGCCAGTGAGTAATGGGTCAACCGGTAAAAGATGTGGAAGCAAAAGTGCAAAATTAGCAACATATTTTAGCTCATATTGCCAGTAGCTAAGTCTTAGGAGAGGCATTTTAACCTTGCATAATGGGGGGAAATTGCATAAAAGCTGGGAAACCATCAAAGGATCAGTGGTGCAAGAAAGGAGATGGGGATGGGCAAAGGGTAAACAACCTTCTGGGGAAGTCCAGAAAGTATCGTTGGGATCCCTCAGATTTTGTTCCCTTGCCTCCACCTGTCTTTCTGTCTTTGGTTGGGTTCAGAAAACACGACAAATGACAAACCATGGTGATTTATTACCATTATTGGTCATGTTCTCTGAATCCCAACATGGTACTTCACCATGGCAAGTTTGGCTTTTAGAAATCACTTTAAGAAACAATAGTTTGTCCTGTGGTTTCCCCGTGCTGCCATGGCTTGTTGTATTTGAACCCAGGATCATAGTTTCTGCAGTCCTAGTATGCGGCTTCCATCCATCCGTCCGTCCTCCATGTGTGGGCCAATGAGGAAGAGGTCGGCGACATAGGCAGGGAGTGATACACCTTGGGATTGAACTTCAGGTACAGCGGCTGATAGGATACAGTGGAAGGACTGAGCAGGGAGGATGGAAACCATGACAAAGTAGGAAAGAGCCATCTCTCAGCTAGATCATGGTAACAAGCTGCAAACCATGGTAACCACACAGGGTTGTTTGTCATGTTGTGTGAAGGCAGCCTCTGTACATGTGCATGTATGTTTGTGTGTATGCGGAAGACTTAGATCGAATGCAGTTCCTCTCCTTTCTGGGTTAACTGCCTACACCCTGCTGGTAAATACCAAATTGTCAACAAGGCTGTGTCCTTTCCCCATCACTCTGGATGCTCTATCTGTCCGCACACAGACAGCCCCATAGACGGAGCTAACAAGCCTGCCAGATCACTTGATGGCAGCCATCAGTTTCTACTTGTTTTTCATGCCCCAGATAAGACAATGTTATAGCTTTAACGATCTGGAAAAAATTCCAAGGCCAAATGTCATGTGAGGATAAAATGAAGGGAAGAGGACCAGATAAGCCAACTTCAGTTCCTTAAAAAGGGAAAAAACCACGGGGTATAAAAGTAATAAATAAATAAATGGTCCATAACTGTTTTCATGGCCCTTCTGTTTCGATATGTCTACTCTAAGTACAATCAAGTTAGATTTGTGTTTGATTTCACAAAGCCAAATTTGAGTGCTAGATGGGTGGCTGACATCCAAGATCACCAAAGAAGCTCAGTCGCTATGGGATGTTGATGCCACCGGAAAAAGGATAATGGGAGTCCAATGGAAGTTGGGGGATGTGGAATGTCTTGCTTGGAAAAAAAGCTTGGCTTGAACCCTGAACAGGAGCACTCTTGGGGGGGGGGGTGAAAATGTTGCATTTGCAACATGGGTGCTCTCAAATGTGTGTTCAAAAGTGTGCACCCGCACAGATACACACTTATGAAAATGCACGCTCCTGCAACTCCACCTCATGGAGAAGCACATCCCTTCTACAAATCCACATTTTTATCCTTTAGCCTGTGGAGGAGCTTGTGCATGCCGGTGCTCATGCTTAAAAATTGACATTCTTCCTGTTTGAGAATGTGCATATTCCTGCA